TCCCCCGGAAAAAACCTCGCAGATCGGCTTTTCTCACCGAATTCGTGCTCTGCCGCTGCTTGTGGAGGTCCAGCCGGTGCCGGAGCTGGGCTTGGGGGCACCCTGGGCAAATGGAGCTGGGCATGCAAAGCAGCAGCCAAAGAGACTGCACCCCTGCTTACAGGGGACTCGAGCTGCTGCCTGGCCCTCAAAGAGGCCGGAAATCCAGGGCACTGGCTGGGCCCTGACTTACAGGGCAGCCCTGGTACCAAAGGCTCCTTCTCTCTGATTCGGGGCACCCTGACCCGCTCCCCGCTAATGGGGCGGTCACCCCACACAGGCTGCCAGCGGAGCACTATCAAGAGTGCTCGGCACTTTCTGCCCTGAAGGCAGCTGAATCAGCAGCAGTGGCTGGTGACTGGCAGGGGCTTTTCCTGGGAGGTTGTGTGGGCTTGGGCAGAAGAAGTTTTTGAGGTGGGTTCCTCATCAGTTGAGAGAAGCTGCCGCTTCTCTGCGGAGCAGCTGGTTGGAAAGTGGCTGGTGTCTGGGGCCTACAAGTGGTGCTTGCCACCTAAATGTGTTGCCCTGTCCTGTCCTGCCCTACCATGCCCTAGTCCCCCTTCCTTGTGCTGTCAGCCAGGGAGAAAGAGAACCCCCGGGGAAGGCAAAAGCGGTGGGGGGAAAGGGTCCTCTCCGGAGCCTGCAAGCAGGGCCCGGGTCCTGCGCAGGAAACCCCAGCACGGGGCTTTAGGGCATTGAACTGTGTCACCCTCCCAGAAGCAGGGCTGGGGCCTCTGCTCCTTAAACCCCCAGGATGCTGGGCACCACGCGGTGCCCAAGATGACTAAGAACAGGGGGGTAGGAGGTGGGGAGAGGAAGGATGGCCAAAGTGCAGGGACCAGGGAGCGCCGCGGGGAGGTCCCTCCGGGGGAAGGCTTTCCGCCGTTCTCTGGGCGGAGGAGCTCGCGCTCCTGTGAAAGAGCTGCACCGTCCCCCCCAGCAAGAGCTCCTAAAGAGGAAAGAAAGAAAAAAAAGCAAGGCGTCTAATCCTGTGTGTGGAACGACGAGGCAAAAGCAAACAAGAGGAAGTGCGGCAGGCTGGAGAAAGAGAAAGAGAAAAGCAAAGAGGAAGGCACTCTAAGCAAAGGGACCTCAGGGATGCAGCCAAACAAGAGCATTTGTGGTGCTTTTGGAAAGGTTTCCATGACTTTGGGGAAGGTACTTGGCTCAGTGCCGTTCCCTGAGTTTTTAGAAGCCATTCCAATCCGGTATTAAGATACAACTTCCAAATTTTGGCCCTTGGAGGGCCGGGGCCAGGAATACCCGCCTGCTTACAGGGGGTCCCTCCCAGCACCTCTCACCCAGTGCAGGGGACAGGCACAGCCCTACTTACAGGGCAGTCCCCCTCGGCTTGGCATTCCCAGGGCTGACTTAAAGGGCAGCCCTGGTCCCAAAGGCTCCTTCTCTCCGATTCGGGGGCACCCTGACCCGCACCCCGCTAACGGGGCGGTCGCCCCACACAGGCTGCCAGCGGAGCACAAAGGCTCCCAGACCCGGACCCTGATTACAGGCAGGTCGACACCCAGGGAGCCAGAGAGCCCGGCCTTCCCCCCCAGCAGCAGGAACGAGACTCAACAGCCAGGCAGTGGAGCTTCACGGCCATAGGCCGGGGGGCTGGCGGCCCAGTCCCAAGGACAGGGAGGGCGCACGCCCGGCCCCACACATCCCGGCCCCACGCCTCTGAAAGGCCGGGGCCAGGGGCACCCGCCTGATTACAGGGGGTCCCGCCGAGCGCAGGGGACAGGCACAGCCCTACTTACAGGGCGGTCCCCTGCGGCTCGGCACTCCCAACCAGCCCCACGGAGCCCAAGGCTCCCACCTGCGCCCGAGTGACGGGCCGGCCAGCCTGGCTGCAGCACAACCACCACAACAACCACCACCACCATCAGCTCTTCGGGAGCCCGGCGGGCCACCTCGACCCCAGCCGCGGGGAGGTCACCCCAGCCAAAAGCAGCGCCAAAGGCGGGCCTGTGCCCTGCGGCACAGCACTTCCTCAACCCGCACCCTTCCAAAGGGCCAGGGAGGGCTCACTCCTGCTGGCTGGCTAAAAGCAGCCGCCCCAGCCCTGCTTACAGGGAGGCCGGGCTGCTCCTGGGGACACAGGGCTCCACGGGCTCGTGACACGCACCCCGAGTACGGGGCCGTTGTGCTGGCACGTCGCCAGCAGGACAGGCAGCCGTGCAGGCAGAGAGAGACCCAGGCTCTGACTACAGGCCGGTCACCTTGCCCGCGCTCCACGACTTAAGTGGCTTCGCTCTGTCCTTAGAAAGGAGAGGCGAGCCCGGACCCTCCCTCTGCTTGCGGCCTCAGAGGGGACTCCCCCGTTGCTGCACAGAGCCCTCTCTCCCTCCTGGGAAGTTTAAGCTAAGTACGCTGCAGCAATTTTAACAGGGGCCTAAACAAGTAGCTCATTTGCTCTCTCACTCACGCAGACGCAGACGCAGACACAGACACAGACACACACACACACAGATACATACAGGGACAAACAGAAGTTCCGAGAAGGGAGGGCAAGCCCTGTGCAGCCGCTCTCTGGGGAGCCATCCCTACCACCAAGCGAGTGAGGAGGGCCTCAGACCTGCCCCCCAGGGCTGCATGGAGGCCTGAGGGGCCTCAACACGCCAAGGGGCTTCACGGGTGGCCAAAGGGCAAATGGCGCAACACGCCCAGATTCCTGGGGGTCACAGATGCCAGCAGGCACAAAGCTGCTGGGTCAGGGGGAAGCGGGCAGGGAAACGGCCCTCCCCTGCTTACAGGGTGGGCCTGGGGTCCAGCGAGCTCCATGTCCCCCTCGGGTGTGGAGACGGTGGCCCTCACCCTCCTTACAGGGTCGCCACTCTCTCCAGGCAGCCAAACCATAGGGCAACATGGCCAAAGGCCGAAGACCTGAGCCCTGGTTACAGGGAGGTCGCCCAGTACAAAGCCAGCCAGGGCACAAAGGTGCTGGCAATGGTCTTGTGTGACTGCAGCCCTGGTAATAGGGAGGTCCTTTTGCTCAGAGCACCATTCTCCTTCCCCCTCTCCAACCGACCGCTCCTCCTCTCACCTGCTCCTGCCTCGCAATTCCTCACCATGCCTTGTGTGTGTTTCTTCTCCAGGAGCCGCTTCCAAGGAAGGAGGGCACAGTCAAGCACCAACTCCCCCGTCCAGAGGAGAGAAGAAAGCCAGCCCCCGGAGGGAGGTTCCCACAGTGCTCCCTGGCCCCCAGCCATCCTCCCTCCCCCCTACCCATTACCCCCCCAGGCTCAGTCACCTCAGACCCATCTCCTTACCGCCATAGTACCCAGTGGCCCAGAGGGAGGCAAAAACCAAAGGCCCCAGCCCCGCTTCCGGGTCAATGGCCCAGCTCAAGGCAATAAAATGGCTTCCCAATGCCAGGGCTTCCCAGGCAGGACCCAGGCCCTGCTTGCAAGCACAACCCAATGCCTGGAGAAGGCCCCTTCCTCCCGTGTTCCCCGGTGGTTCTCTTTTTCCCAAGCTGCTCCTGAAGCAAAGGGAAGGAAGCCTAAGGCAGGGCATGCCCAGCCCCACACACCCTGGCTCCATGCCTCTGAAAGGTCAGGGCCAGAGATACCCGCCCGATTACAGGGGGTCCCTCCCAGCACCTCCCGCCCAGTGCAGGGGACAGGCACAGCCCTACTTACAGGGCAGTCCCACTTGGCTCAGCACTCTCAACAAGCCTCACGGAGCCCGAGGCTCCGACCTGTGCCCGAGTTACGGGCTGTCCATCCTGGCTCTTCACCTCTTCAGGAGCTCCACTTCCCTGCTGGGTACAGAGATGGTGGCTCTCACCCTCCTTACAGGGTTGCCCCTCTCTCTGGGCAGCCTAACTACGGGGCAACATGGCAAAAGGCCAAGAAAAGCAAAGACCTGAGCCCTAGTTACAGGGAGGTCACCCAGCAAAAAGCCAGCCAGGTCACAAAGGTGCTGGCAACACCCTTGACTGACCACAGTCTCGATTACAGGGAGGCCCTTTTGCCCAGAGCGCCCTTCTCTTTCCTCCACGTCAGTCTCCCACACTTCCTCCCTCTTCTTCTCTCTCGCTTTTGCCTCGCAGTGTCACACGATGGATGTCTCCGTCTGCTCCACCAGCTGTGGCCGAGGTAGGAGGACGAGGTCAGGACCCAGAGAGAGGGATGCCGGCCCCCGGAGGGACCTCTCCACAGCACCACCCGGCCCTCGGCTCTACCCCCCAACCCGTAGCCCGAACCCAGGAGGAATTTCTTTCCCAAAGAGGCTGCAGGGCTTCATTGTTAGAATTCAGGAGATGATTTTCCAGACGTAGAATTGCGAATTACTTACTGGTGGAAGAGTCTCACAGAATCGTCTGGTCGTACTTCGGGACCAAGAGGACGGCCGGCCTCCGGAGGGAGCTCTCCTCAGCACCGCCAGACTCCCGGAGGGGAATCCCCTCAGAACCGCCCGACCCCCGGAGGGGGATCCCCTCAGCACTGCCCGACCCCCGGAGGGGGATCCCCTCAGCACTGCCCGACCCCCGGAGGGGGATCCCCTCAGAACCGCCCGACCCCCGGAGGGGAATCCCCTCAGAACCGCCCGACCCCCGGCTGTCTTCCCGCCCCTCCCCCCTGCCCCGGAAAAAACTCGGAGATCGGTTTTTTTCTCACCGAATTCCTGCTCCGGTGCTCCTTCCAGTGAAGAGTTCGAAGTGCTCTCCGCTGCTCCGGGCTCCTGGCCGCTCCCGGCGGGGTCCTGACCCTCCGGCCCCGCTGTGGCGACCGCCGCCCGCCCCTCCCCGGGACGGCGCCTGCCCTCCCCACGGCGCTCGCAGACCCCTCGAAGGCGATGGTCGACACCCGCTCGCCCGCCCCGAGACG